ATTGGCAGAGAGGGGTGGCGGATACGGAGCTGCTAGTAAGGTGGATGAGTCTGGCCGCAGCGTTCAAGATAGACTGAAGCGGGGATAGCCTGTGGTGGGGTAAGCCGATGAGGAGGGAGTTACAGTAGTCAAGGCGTGATATAATGAGGGAGTGAATGAGTTGCTTAGTGGTGTCCGGGGTTACGAACGGACGTATTTTGGATATGTTGCGGAGGTCAAGTCTACATGAGTTTGTCAGCAAATGGACCTGGGGCTGGAAGGACAGATTGGAGTCTAGGATGACACCTAGTATTCTGGCTTGAGGGGAGGGACTGATGGTGGTGTTGTTGGTCTTGATGGAGAAGTCGGGGGGGGGGGGGGGGGGGGCGTGGGCTGGGGTGAAAACTAGGAGCTCAGTTTTGGAAAGATTTAGTTTGAGGAAGTGGAGTGACATCCAATCCAATATGTCGCTTGGCAGGCTTGTGTTACGGGCAGAGACTGAAGGGGTGAGGTGAGGGGTAGAGGGTTGTGCATTTTCCTTCTTAATCCACTTCCCTGTGATACCTTCTTTAATCGGGGGGGGGAAACTCTGTGGACCCTAAGGGCATTAACAATGAATTAAATTCCCATCCCATCTGTTTGTTTAAAACATCCCAGACTCTTAAAATATTTAATGTGAACAAACTTGTGCTGTCTGCTAATCCTCGGTATTGTGGAGGTAACCATACAATTCTACTTAGATTGTTATTACTTAGTATATTTTCTATTTTAACCCAGCTTTTCCCTTTTGCATGATATGTCCAGTCAAAAATTCTCGCCATTATTACTGAGTTATAGTATCTTTTCAAATCTGGTACTCCCAATCCGCCTTTCTCTTTATATCTGCATAAAATTTCCTGGCTTATTCTTGTTTTTTTATTCCTCCAAATAAATCTTGTTAACATTTTTTAAATTGTTCTAAAGTATACTTAGTTGGTAGTTTAATTGGTATCATTTGAAATTTATATAAAATGTTTGGAACAATCAATTTTTTTAAATGCGACCTATCCATGACGGGTTCCCCCTCCTAATTTCCTTAGTTCATCCTTGACCTCATTTAACAATGGGATATAATTCAATTTATATAAGTTCTTGGAGGATACAGTTAATTTTATTCCTAAATATTTTAATTCTTTTTCCCTCCAAACAAACAGGAAATTCCTCCTGTAGCCTATTTTTCTCTCTATTTGTAAGGTTTATGTTTAAAATCTCTGTTTTTGTTGGATTCATTTTTAAATTTGATATCTCCCCATGCTCTTTCAGTGATCTCATTAAATTTGCCAATGTTATCCTTGGGTTTCCCACATAAAACAGCATATCATCTGCATAAGCTGTCACCTTATGCTCTGTGTCTCCTATCCATATTCCCTTTATATATATATTATTCCTTATTGTAGCCAATAGAGATTCTAATGACAAAACATATAGAAGTGGAGACAGATGGCATCCTTGTCTTGTTCCATTTAACACTCTGATAATTCCCTGTTAACCATGATTGCTGCAGAGGGTTGACCATATAGTTTCCTTATCCAGTCTCTCATTCTATGTCCTATCCCCAATACTTCCAATGTATCCATCATATATCCCCAATCTACTCTATCGAATGCCTTCTCAGCATCAATCGAGAGTACCACCGCAGGGGTTTTCTCTTTCCTACATTTTTGTATGAGAAACAGAGATCTCAGTCCATCATTTCTACCCTCTCTCCCTGGGACAAAGCTTACTTGATCTAAGTGTATCCATTCCAGGATTAGATCTTTCAACCTGTTTGCCAGAACTTTGGCATATAATTTAGTATCTGTGTTCAATTAGGAAATCGGTCTATAACTTGAACAGTGAGTAACATCCTTACCTTCCTTATGTATGAGAACTACATGTGCTTGTAGGGATTCCCTCCTCATTTCCATCCCTCCCCCCAATGCATTCATACATATCCTCAATTTGGGTACTAATAGTTCTTTATATTTTTTATAATACCTCTCAGTATATATATCTGGACCTGGACTTTTCCCAGCTGCAGTACTTTTTAGTGCTAGTTGTATTTCTTCCTGGGTTATTGCGAATTCAAGGGTTTTTAATTGTTCCGCTCTTATTTTCGGTAATACCGCATTTTTTAAGTATGACTGTCTTTTTTTCTATTTTTCCTACTCCATCTTTATTTATAGAACTTTGGGGAATAATATTATATAAATTATTATAGTATTCTTTAAACACTTTAGCTATATCTTTAGTTGAATACACTAATTCTCCTTTGGGATCCCTTATTTTCTCTATATAGTTCCTGGATTTTTTTTTCTCTGAGCCCTCATTAAATACTTTCCTAGCCTGTCTCCCCATCTATATCTCTCATTTATCATTTTATTAAACACTCTTCTCTTATCTTCTTCCAGAAAATTATTTCATTCTTCTTTTATTTATTACCCTCTGCATAATCTCTTTTGTTACTCTATATTTATGTATCTGCTCAAGCTCACAGAGTTCCCCAAGAAGCGCATTAATTTTTTCTCTTCTTTCCCTCTTCTTCTTTGCGCCAATCGCTATCAGGATTCCTCTAATATAGGCCTTATGAGCCTCCCACACCGTTGCTACAGACACTTCCCCAGAATCAATTTCTTAAAAAAAAAATTTATATTTCTTTTTTAATTTTTTGATCCGTCTCTTGATCCTGGAGGAGTATCTCATTCAACCTCCATACTTTTCCCCCTTTCAGCTCTTTTCCCAATAATAATTGCAGTGTGACCGGAGCATAGTCCGATATTGACATCACTTCCATTTTTACTTTGACCAAAGACTCAATAAGTCGATGTTCCAGCAATATATGGTCCAGTCTCAAATACATCTCATGTGCATGGGAGTAAAACGTATAATCTCTGTCCTTCACATGCTTAATTCTCCATATATTCACAAGTTGGCATTGGAATATCATTTTTTTCAAGGATCTCAAAGATCTACTTTCCTCTCTCTGCACAGGAGACGTCATGTCTATCTGAGGGTCCATACAGAGATTGAAATCTCCTGCCACAATTAGACTACCTTTTTTGAAATCCATTAATTTTTTCAGAGTATTTTTTAGGAATATCTCTGGTTTCTTGTTCGGGCAATAAATATTTGCTAATGTACATTCTATTTCTTGTAGTTTTCCCTTCAGAAACAGAAATCTCCCTTCGGGATCTACCAGTCTGTCTTCTAAGTTAAACCTTATATTTTTCGCAAAACCTATTGCCACTCCATTAGCTCTTCTAATTGGGGAATCTGCATAGAACCACAATGGATAATATCTAGAATTTAATTTCACATTAGTTTCTCACCCCAAATGTGTCTCCTGTAAGAAAACCACTGAAGACAATCTATGCTGAATCTCTTTAAATATCCTAAATCTCTTCCCAGGGCTATTTAATCCATTAACATTATGAGTCACAAAGTGTATCTCTTCCATTCTTCCCTTATTCTCCTATCCTCTCCTCCTTCTCTCCTCCTCTCTTGTCCATATCTTCCCCTTCATTCTCTAGGACTTCTCCAAACTAATATATCTATCCCCTCCCCATATACTCCCCCCCCGCCCCCCTCCCATCCCTCCACTCTTCCCCCCTCCCACTCCCCCCTCCCTCCCTTCCCCCCACCCCCTTCCCTCCCCAACCTCCTTTAGGCTTACATTTTTCCTATGAATCAGGTGAAGCTCTAACCATGAACTTTTCATCAATGAGCGTGTCTCATCATCCGTGTCCTGCCATGTTCTAGGAAACTCAAGAATCATAAGAGAGAGAAGCAGAAATGGAAGGAGAGATAAAAAAAAAACCCTCCCTCCCATCTTATTCCTACTCTCTATTCCTCCTTAGAGCTGCCTGCCACCCCTCTTTTTCCATAGCCCACATCTCTCCTTCTTCTTCCTCCCAACCGGGGATATTTAATTGGGGATTATGGAATTGCACTATTACATCTCTTGAAATTTCCTTTCTACCTTCTTGTTGATGTTTTCTTATTCTATAGACTCCATCCATTTTGAGAGGCTCTGTTATAGTTCTATTCATTACAGTATTCAGCATCTTTGTTATTATTCCCATCAAATCTACTCCTAGGGAGATCTGTGGAAGACCTCGTATCCTTAGGTTGCGTCTCCTATCCCTATTCTCCTGGTCTTCAAATTTGTATAACAGATTTCTTTGTTCTTTTCTCATTTCCATCGTCCATTTTTCTAATTTCTGTATATTATTTGGGCATGTTTATCCTGTTTTTCTTCCGTCTCCTCCACCCTTGATAATATTTGCCCCAGATCTTTATTCGCCATTTCCTGTTTTAAGGATCTTTCAAGTCCTTTAAACATTTCTGCTATTTCTATTTTAGTAGGCATTTGTGAGCTCTCCTCTTGTTCTTCTACATTATCCATATCCACTTCTTCGTCTATATGTTGACTACTGTTAGCTATTCCCAGGGATAGTCTGGAACATTCTCTGCTGTTTTCCCTCTCACCTCACTTATTCCCTGTTGTCTCTCTGGAACCTGTTTCTCCTGTGAGGTTATATATATTTTTAATTGTCCCTGTTTAAGAAGCCTTAGACCCTCCTCCCTTTAATACTTTATTTTTCATACTGTCAGGGACTGTTTAAATTTTCCGCAGTTCTGGCTCTGGGGGGTGGGGGGGGTGTGTCTGTTTTTGATTTAATATCAAAATTGTTGTCTTTCAGAGATGTCACCCTCTCAGTTCTTCTCTTCCTTTTTATCTCCCCCCACTCCCGAACTCATCTGCCAGGGTCCACTTCTTCTGGGTCTTTATATATTTTAAATTGTCCTCCTTCCACTTTTTCCTCTAAGACCCCCTGGATGAACCCCTCCTCAGTTTAAACATACAGTTCAATTCATACAGTTCAATTCCCATGCAATATATTAATCACAGTACTCTTGCCGCTCTTACTCACCCTCTTGTCCCCAATCCGGCTTTTCCTCCGTATGTGATCTCTGCTGTGTGTGAAGACGGGAGTTCTCTGAAAGACATTTCCCGCACTCAGGACAGGAATACAGCTTCTCCCCCGTGTGAGGTCTCTGATGCATGAAAAGATTGACTTCACTGAAAAGTATTTTCCCACACTCAGGGCAGGCATATGACTTTTCCCCTGTGTGAAATCTCTGATGTGCGTAAAGACTGGGCCTATCTGAAAAACATTTCCCACACTCAGGACAGGAATATGGCTTCTCCCCCAGGTGAGATCTCTGATGTATGTGCAAACTGGACTTCTGTGAAAAACATTTCCCGCACTCCGAACAGGGATATGGCTGCTCCCCCATGTGACATCTCTGATGTGTGTAAAGATAGAACTTACATGAAAAACATTTCCCGCATTCAGAACAGGAATACTTCTCCCCCATGTGAGATCTCTGATGTCTTTAATGACTGGACTTATCTGAAAAACATTTCCCATACTGAGAACAACTCTTCCTTCACGCCGAGTGAGGTGGCTTCAGGTACTCCCTTCTGGGGAATGTTGCCTTCATTATTCCCATCACATAGTAGGCAGATTTGCAGGGGGGGGTTTTCCAGCCCATTTCTGTGGGTCTCTGGCCACCGCAGTCCCGTGTGTGAGAGGATAGAGCCGGCGTCTCCCTCACTTCAAGAAATGCCGACCGGCTTTTTCTACCTCCCAGAGCTCCCTGCGGTGGATCACCTGATCGCCCGGCATCCACTGAGCTCTGGGGAACACACAGCACTGGACCGAGAGCGCAGGCAGTCCCGCTGTGATGACCGCCACCCCCAGGGGTCCACGGTCTATGTGGCTCTGCTCGCTGGCACTCCACCAAACCCGGGGGACCCGCACCGCACCCGGCAAGCCCCTTTCTCCCCCGTAAGTCTCTCCAGGGCTTCTCAAACATTACTTCTTTTCCCAGCAGGACACTGGTGGTGTTTGGAAGCCAGGAGCCCTCACATCGAGCTCCTGCTCCAAGCCATGGTCAGGCTCCTCCCTCTGATGCTCTATAAATCCTTCCTGCTTATCATAATGCTTACATAAACATTCCATAGGTGTGAAAGAGGTTAGATCTCCTGTGCGCCTTAATGTTGTTCTGAAATTAGTTATTTGGTTATAGCGGTACAATTCTGTGGATGGGAGCTGGTATTGAGTCATTAAATAGTGTAAAAACCCCTTTATGGTCACATAGGTCCGCAATACGGAGCAGTCCCTTATTTGTCCACCAATCGAAATGACATATGCTGAGGCCCGAGACAAAACTGGAGTTACCCAGCAGTGGCGCCAGAGATGAGTGTGGGGATTTGAAATTATGTTGGACAGCCAGTCTATCCCAGAGGCCAAGGGAAATGACAATGTGGGGCAAAGTATGGTCGGTCTATCTCGCACCCTCAACCACATCAAATGGCTGACATGTTTTGTCGATAGGGAAGTAGACTCTAACCTCATCCATTGGGACAGGGAAGCTGTGAATGGAAATGAATCAATGGAGCCAATTTGACCACATAAAATATTTCACCAGATCTGGTAATCCCAAACCATCCTTAGCTTTGGAAATATATAATGTGCGCCTGTTTACTCTAGGCCTTTTATCTCCCCACGCAAACTTTGAAAAAGGGGCAAATCATACCAGGTCATTGCTATTGGCAAGGCTCTAAATAGATACAGCACTTTAGGCAGGGTATTCATTTTAACTGAATGCAGCCTCCCAAACCACAAAGGGGGACTGGAAGCCCATCTATCCTTTTCACCCAACAATTTCTTAAACAAGGGGTGATAGTTTTTCCGGTACAATGTCTAGAGAGAAGGAGTCAGCTGAATACCCAAATAGGGCTGAGAGTCATTTTGCAATCTAAAATGGAAGGTCTGGTGCAAGGTACTAACAGTGCGATCATCCAGAGTCAGGTTTAGTGCTAGCAATTTTGTGTGATTGACTTTTAGACCTGAAATAAGGGTGAAAAAATGTAGGTCCGCAAACAAGTTAAGGATTGATGTGATAGGTGACGTAAGTAGCATCAAAAGGTGATCCGCAAATAAAGCATATTTATGTGTCCTATCCCCACATTGAATGCTCTGGATATCTGGGTTATTTCAAAGCTTAATAGCCAATGGTTCAAGGGCCAAGATGAACAGAATAGGAGACAATGGGCATCCCTTTCTGGTGCCCCTGCGAATGTTGAAAAAATTTGATTTATATCCCTTATCTGACAAACGTGCCTTTGGTGAACTATATAGAGCATTCAGTATGTGAAGAAAGCGTCGTCCAAAGCAATAACGCCCTATAGTCTGAAAGAGAGAGTCCCATGACATAGAATCAAAAGCCTTATTTAGGTCAAGGAACAAAAGCATATCTTTTCTAGTGCCGTTGCTGTCCCAATTTGATCTCAGTGCCGAAATTACATCTATGATGCGTCTGGTTTGATCGGGGGCCTACCTACCTGGCACAAATCCCACCTGGTCAGAGTGGATGTATGTCAATAGAAATCAGTTTAACCTGTTCGCCAACATTTTATTCAGTATTTTAAGATCAACATTGATAAGTGATATTGGGAGGTAATTCACAAAGTCTCCCGAATCTTTTCCCGGCTTGGAAATTACATGGATGAAAGTGTCTTTTTCATGGGTGGGTAAAGGGTTAGCATCCCGAATGTGGTTGAAAAAACGAGCATAAATGTGGGGTCAGGACCTCCATATATTTCCTGTAATAATGACCCGTAAAACCATCCGGGCCTGGGGCCTTAGAACGATTAATGGATTTGATTGCTCCAGCCAACTCAGCCTATGTAAACTTCTCCTCTGTAAGCTCCGCAAGTTCTTGGGAAACTCGCGGAAGGGGGAGGCCCCGAAAAAAACTATTTGTCTGGGATGGGGGAGGTCACGTAAAGGATGCATATATTTTTGAATAGAAATCAAAGAATTCACTGAGGATTTTGGGTCAAATTTCCCGTGTGGAGCCACAATTGTGGTATGGTGGAAGCGTAAGGGTGTGGCACCAATTTCCTAGCCAGCGAGGTATTGGGTTTATCTCCCATCATATAATAACATTGCCTAGACCAACGTATCGATCTCTCCGCCTTAGTAGTCAAACGTCTATCCGGGACCGACTATCTAAATGGGAAGAGGATTTCTGTTCCTGTAAGAGATTCTTAAGAGCAATCTCGTGTTCACAGATAAGTAATTTCTCGATTATGTCTAGTTTGCGCGACTATTTGAATTAACTTCCCTCGGATGGTAGATTTATGAGCTGCCCAATTAATCAATGGGGATGTATCCTCGGAAATATTTTTACCAAAATATTGGTGAAGTGAAGCTTCGACTTTGTGAAATATGGTGGGGTCATTGAGTAGAGAGGCATTAAAGCGTCAAGAGGAGGCTTCAGGGGGACATGCGCGGCCAGGGATGAAGACGGCCGCTTCCCTCTGAGCTCCGCTCATCTCCCGGCATCCGAGACTCACCCGCAGCACACTGCTGTCCTGTAGGCATCCCTGGGTGAGTCATATAAGCCAGGCACCCAGCCCAGCACGATCCCCAGCGATAATGGGGAAAATAGGGCGCTGGAAGCCCCCTTCCCCGCCGCCACGTGAACCGCGGCCCTCTCCGCTACAGCGGTTTTTGCATAGGCCACAATCCCCGGCCATAATTTCTGCTACAAGCCCAGGAACGAGCTCCGGGCCCCCAGTGGTGGTCGGCGGTACTACAACTCCCAAAATACTGCAGCCGATCTTTCCACCTTCTCCTGTTTCCCAGATGGAAGACTACGCATCCCTGATTCCTGAAGAAGGGATGACAGAGCGACCTGTATTGAGTGTGCCTCCCACTGCTCCTGACAACCACCTGCTTGCTTCACCTGCTCTTCACGGTATATTCATTAGAGGAAAAATTGCAAGTATTTTTACACAATATTACTGCCTCTATATCCGCTGAAGTGGGGAATTTGGCTTTGGATCTTCGTGGGGAAATAGCACAGATCAGAGATCGTGCAGACCAATTGGAGAATAAATTTGATGAATTGGTGCAATACGTCCATGTCTTAGAAGAAGACAATGCGTATCTGAAACACACCATGTCCCAAATTCAGCTCCAACAAGAAGATTTAGAAAATCGGGAACGTCGGCAGAACATTTGTATCCGCGGTATGTCCGAATCTGTTGCCGATTCCCAACTCCGCTGACATCTCCTGTCTTTCTTCGTTGCAAGAAGCGGATTGGCGCCTGGACAGGGCCCATCATTCATTAGGCCCCAGACCTGCAGACGGCACTAGACTGCGTGATGTCATCGTTCACTTTCATTTCTTTGAGAGCAAGGAAGGTTTGTTAGCCTCCGTACGTAACAAACCCTCCCTGGAGTTTAAAGGGGACAGGCTTCAGCTTTTTTGTGATCTCTCTCCGATTACCCTGGCCAAACGGCGGGTGCTGAAGCCAATTACCACGCATCTGCAACATCATCATGTCCCCTATCGCTGGGGTTTCCCCTTCAAGCTGGTCGTCTCCAAGGATAATTCCCAAGTTACTCTTTGGGATCTTTTGGAAGCGGACTCCTTCCTGAAGCAATTGGGACTACCCCCTTTAGGCCCTTCTTGCCGCCTACTCCATCTTGTCCTTCCGCCACACCCCCCAACAAGATTTGGACACCAGTTCATAGGGGTCGGAAGCGGCTTTCACGTATGCCTCTGTCAGGGCTCCGGGTATGACCAGAGGTATGTGAACTGACACAGGGAAACGCAGGCTTCAGATATGTTATAAACAATATAATTTATTAATACTAACAATACAAAAATGCAGTGCAATACTAAAACATAAACACAGTGCAAATGAACCAAACCAAACCACCCACAGATAACAATACATACAATGCAAGCGTAGTCAGGCAGGCCGGGTCAATAACAATCGGGCAGGTAGGAACAGGTGGGCAGGCAGAGAGTAGTCAGGTCACGAGTCGGGTACAGCAACTAATGGGCAGGTAGGTACAGGGGGTCAGGCAGAGAATGGTGGGGGTCACCAGCCAGGGATCAAGCAGGAGAAGTCAGCAGAGGTCAGGATCAGGCAGGGTCAGCAACGAGTCAGTCAGGCAGGAACAGGAACAGAAACAGAAACAGGAATGCAGGTAACAAGATACAGGGGCTCATGGAAAAAACACACACCAAGGCCCAGACTGCAGTCTGGCCATCCCTTAAATACACCTCCGTAAATCAGCTTCAGGTGTTTGGCTGACTGCAGGGTTGAGTCTTTGATTGCTGAGAGCACCCGCTGGCCAGCCCTGGTACTGCAGCCCACAAGGCAGGTGAGTCCCACCATTATTGGCAAGTCCATGCCTGACAGTATCCCCCCCTCAAGGAGTGGCCTCAGGACGCTCCAAACAGTCCTAGCTGGGTAAAATGTTCCACCGCCCGGGTCTGGTTACTGGCGGGATATCAAAGACTGGCACATCGGGCTGGACTCGGGCAGAGGCACATCGGGCTGGACTCCGGGCAGAGGCAC